AAAACAAAACAAACCATTACCCTTCCAACAAACTGGAAACAGAAAGGGAGGCTGCAAACCTGCCGAGACCCGACTTCATAGCTCTGAGGCTGCTTATTACTCTTACCAGTTCTCAGTGCTACCTCAGGGAGGGTCTCAGCGTTTCCTGGGAATCAACTTGTATCGGAAACCCTAGGGTGTGGAGCAGCAGTCTGGTTTCTTCAGTCCAGGTGGTTAAACGTGGGGCCTACACACCAAGCCACAGCCCTAGGCCATTGTCATTTTTAAGTTTTGCGACTGCCTCTTGCTAAATTGTGAAGTTGTCCAGTCCAGGCTCAAACTTTCTATCCTCCTGCCTCAGCCTCCCAGGATGCTGGGATTTCAGGCATGACCAGCCAGCAGTTTGTTTCAATCCGCCTCCCTGGGGCTCACAGTGCCCGCTAAGACCTGAGGCTCCTGTGTGTCCTTCCCCTGGGAAGGGCTAAGTGGGGGCACAGAAAGACCACTCAGCTGTGGATCCTGGAACTGACCGTCCTTCTGCAGAGCTTAATGGGCATTTGTTCCTTCTCCGCAGCAGAAAGAGAGCCCAACTCCTACATCAGAATTCATTTATTCCTCCCACTGACTTTTTTTTGGGGGTATCGGGGATCACACTCGGGACCTTGCACTTGTGAGGCAGGCAGCAGCACCACTGAGCTAAAACCCCAGCCCTCCGCTGAGGTTAAGCATTAGACCTGGGAGCAGCCTGTGCGTCACCGACGCCCCATGGTGTGAGAACTGGTTCACCATTGCTGCACAACTTTATCGCGGACGAGCTGGCCATGGGGCTCCGTGGCATCTGGGGGGAGCAGGGCCAAGTAGACAGGGGTCTCGGCCCCCTGCTCCGCAGTCCTGGAGCCCTGGTCCCCGGCCATGTCTGTCTTCACCCACCCGGGGCAGCAGGCGTTCAGCAGGATCCTGTCGGGCCCTCTCTGCTCATCCAGCTGCCGGGCCACGATTCTGGACAAGACCGTGACCCCCAGCTTGGAAACCCCGTAAGCCGAGTCCGGCCAGCCTTCCCTCCTGTGCACCTCATTTTTCGCATCCTCCACAAACTTTTTCATGAGGTCCACTAGGTCCCCCTCCGTGAGTGCGTCACAGCGGATCCGCTCCCGCAGGGATTCGCTGCAGTCTTCAAGAGCCTTGGAGCCCTGAAAACTGCTGATGTTCACCACTCTCCCTGAAGCAGAAGACAAAGGTGGATTGTGTCACGGAGGAGAAGTGGTCCTTAGTGAATGTGACATAGGGTTGAAAAGTCCCCTGGATAGTTAGAAGAAATTTAAAAAATTGGGACAGTAAAACACACATTGCCTTGAATTCTGTTCCAAACATTTGCCGTCATTGTGAGCACACTTGTCCCACAGGTCCGGTGCTTTCCGAAGCAGTTCTGCAAGCTCTTCCTGAGCGTCTTTACTTGTGCTATCGCGGTGGCCTCAATGCCCTGAACTGACTCAGAAAGTCTCCCTTTCACTGTCATTTTGACTTGGGAAAGAGGCAGAAGTCTCAGTGCCAGATTCGGTGACTAAGGTGAAGGACGACACAGCATCGTCTTTCCCAACTGCCTTTCTGCTGGATGGAGCCTGAGGCAGCATTTACTGTTTTTGATCAGACCTCACAAAGCTCTCTGACAGAGGACCCCCACAACTGCTTCAGAAAGTGGAAAGAATGTTGGAGTAAGTGAATTCAAAGAGAGGTAGAGGATTTTGAGGGGATTATGGTAATGTGTCATTTACTACAATATTTTTAATTTAAACATTTCCCCATATATTTTGATCACCCCTTGCATCAAACACACAAGTGAGTCAGGATGCAGGTTTGATTGCTGAGAAAAACAGAAGGTAGGGCCGGAGATTTAGCTCGGTGGTTCTACTGCCTGCTTCACAAGTGTAAGGACCCGAGTTCAATTCCTGACACCATAACCCAACCAAACAAACAGACAAAAAACCCCACAAAAAGTAGCTGGGTGTGGTGGCACATGCCTGTAATCCCAGCTCGTGGGAGGTGGAGGCAGCAGGAGGATCATTTAGTTAGAGACCAGCCTGGACTACACAGTCTTGGTTCAAGGCCAGCCTGAACTGCACAAGACCCTGTCTCAAAAAACCAAAACCAAAAATCAAAACAAAAGGTGACACTAGAAGGCGTAAAATCTGCAGGAGAGAAATTTTATACTGGGGGGGTTGATTCTGTGCCCCCAGGGAAGAACACATTTTCCCCTCCTGGGTAGTTCTCTGCACTGGCTGGAACTGTGGTCTGCAATAGATTCACCCCAGGCTGGTTTTTTGTTGTTGTTTTGGTTTTTTTTTGTACTGGGGATCAAACTCAGACCTTGTGCTTTCGAGGCAGGCAGCAGAACCCCTGAGCTAAATCCCCCACCCAGGCAGTTTTATCCACACCCCAGGGACTGCGGCCCCTTCCTGAGGACTAAGCCCACCATTCCCCAGGCTGGCTCCATCCCCTCCAGATCCCGGGAGCTAAACAGGATCAGGCAGTGTCTGTCCTCCATGAGGTGTCTGTCCCCAGTGCTTCCCCACCTGGACCGGTCTCCAGTCAGCAGTGACTGTGCTCATATTCCCCGAGAGGACCTGACTCAGTACCCACGCTGCTACTAATTCGCAGCTCCCAAAGGGACAACCACACACACACACACGCACACACAGGACAACAGCTCCACACTGGGAATCCGAAAACCAGGGAATGGGAGTTTTGCACACTTTCTCCTGCACCCACATTGCCACTTTGGGGTGCTTATCTTCTCACATGCTATTCGGAATGCACTTATCTCTCAGGTACAGTGACCTTTAGTCGTTCCGCCGTCTCCTTTGCAGGGGTCACATACACTCCTCCTTTCCTTTTTTTTTTTTTTTTTGAGACAGGGTCTCACTATGGAGTTGAGACTGACCTGGAACTCACTGTGTAGCCCAAGCTGGTCTCAAACTCACAGCGATTCTCCTGCCTCAGCCTCCTGAGTGCTGGGATTACAGGTGTGCGCCACCATACCCGGCCCTGACTCTTAATTCAATAAACGCCTGTCTAAATCCCACCCCTCGCCAACATCTTGCCACGTTTGCTTGCTTTCTCCTTCCCCAGTCGCCATGAACCTTGGCCTTCAATACTTGAGCACTTCCGGGGGACGGGGAGGGGTTGGGGGCAGCACCCTCTCAGATATGCTCAGTCCTTGCCGCCAAACGGGACGTATTTGCCTTAACTCGGGACAGCCTCTTGATGCTTACGTTACTTCCTGCTTACGTACAAACCCCCAAACCAGGGTAACGCCACGTAAATAGCTGACGTGCTGTCGAAGGAGCAATGGCAAGGGAAATAGTCTCTGTGTGTTTGCTACTGATGCAGTTCCCCCAAATATTTTCAATCTGTAGTTGGCTGAACGCACAGATGTGGAAATAGAGGACACAGGCGGACCGCACTTGGGGACAAGGGCAGCTCCCTAGGTAGCCACAGTGGCGATCAGGTGCCAGGCTTCTATCACCATTTATTTCGAGTAGTATTGAAATGTCCCAAGTTGTCCCAGTGACGTCCCGTGACAGTTTTAATCCAGGATCCGCTCAGCCTGAGAAGGGCAGCACCCACCCCATCAACACCACATTCCTCTGAGAGGGTGACCCACTTGGTTCAGCCTCGTTGCAGAAAGAGCGGGCAAGTAGCTCCGCCTAGTGGCAGGCCTTGAACACACAACAAGCCTTTTTTTTTTTTTTTTTTTTTCTGCCACAAAGTCTTGCTTTGTAGTTCTGGCTGGGCTTGAACTCACTAAATCGACCAGGGTGGCCTTGAATTCGAGGCAATCCTCCTGCGTCAGCTTCCCAAGTGCTGGGATTACAGGCATGTGCCACCATACCTGGCTCTTTAATGTTTTAAAGCTAAACAAAGAAAAATGAAGTATTAATGGTCCTCAGCATTTGGCCCCTCAGGTAAACATGAGTTTTTTTTTAAAGTCACAAATAGCTAGCTGGGCATGGTGACACACACCTATAATACTGGCACTCTGGGAGGCTGAGGCAGACAGATCTCAAGTTCAAGCCCAGTGTGGGTAATTTAGTTACTTAGTAAGTCTTTGAAAAATTGAAAAAGGACCAGGGATGTAGCTCAGTGTGAAAGCCCTATGTTCAATGTACCTCAAAAGCAGAACAGAAAGAAAGAAAAGCCACAGATATTCTCTGTGTGCAGTAAAGAGGAGATTCCTGTGTGGGGAAGTCAGGTTGAACACCGTGAGTAAGTCCCCAAACCCCTCCCAGAACTACCCGTTAGCTCTCCAGCGTCCTAGTTTGTAGCCACCTGACACCATCATTCTGGTTTCTCTGGATATTTGAATTTGATTGAGTAGTGAATAAAGAAACCGGGGAGTTTCCAGCTGTTACCACCTGCTGCGCTCAGTTCTCTCCCTATAAAGTGCAGCCACACAAGGGTTCAGCAACTTCGTGCAGCTCTCAGAAAAAACATCATTTGGGATGGGAGTTTGATGCTAGGGCCTTTGCACTGAGCTGTGTCTCTCCTCTCCCCTTTGAAACAGGGTCTCCCTAAGTGACTAGGTTGCTCAGCTTCTTACAATGCTGGGATTACAGGTTTGTGCCATCATGCCCAGCTGGTTCTCAAATTCTATGCTTACAAAACTCACGGGGGAGAGGACTTTCTGATAACCTGGTAAAGGCATCTCTAGCAAGGCCCTGTCTCAAAAAGGCTAGAGATGTAGCTCAGTGCAAAGACCCTGGGTTCAACCTTCAGTAGAGCAAAAAAAATGGGGGACCTGGGTGTGGTGGTGCATACCTGTACTCCCAGCACTCAGGAGGCTGAGGCAGAAGGATCGCTGTGAGTTCTAGGCCAGCCTGAACTCCATAGTGAGAATTTGTCTCAACAAAACAAAACCACACACACACAAAAAAAAACAAAAACAAAAACCCAAAAACAACAAAAAAGGGAAAGAAAATCTCTTTGGATTTTCTGGAGAGAATACAGGTAAAGTCTAATGCTAGCACAGATGCCATCCTGGGTCCCCGAGAAGCCAGGAGACGCCATCCTGGAGGCCCAGAGAAGGTGAGGCCGATGAGAGCCAAAGGCCCCCGGGGTCTCGCACATCCTGTGGTCCAGGGCTGCGGTCCTGACGTGAAACCCGGGGTTTGTGTGAAGAGCCAGACAGGAGAAAACAGAGCAGTTTTCTATTTCTTCCTCTCACAAATAAATAGCAGCAGTGGGTGATTTCCCTGCACAGCCTCGCCAGTGGCCACCGGCTTCCTCTTCCCTGGGCTTCAGGGTAACGGTCACCCCCCCGCCACTTACCGTGTGGCTTCACAATGGGCAGTAATTCAGTGCAGACGTTTCTAGTGGCGAAAAAGTTTGTCTTCAACGTCATCTCAGCTTGAATGTCGAAGGGTGTTGGGTCATCCACTTTCAAAGAGAGGACACACACACAAATCATACATTTCCCCCTGAATTCATGTGTGGGTCTTAATGCGTAGCAATTAATTGAAGCAGAAACAAGCTAACTTTGTTTTTTGACACAGGGTCTCTCTATATATTCCAGGCTGGCCTTGAACTCAACTGTGTAGCCCAGGGTGGCCTCAAACTTACAGCGATCTTCCTGCCTCAGCCTCTCAAGTGCTGGGATTACAGGCGTGTGCACCACCACATCCAGCCAACAAGCTAACTTTAAGACAATTTCAAACCACTGGGAAGTGCTCTCCAACTTCAGGGTGCATCGGAATCACTTGCAGGGCCTGTGGAAACACAGCTTTCTGGCTACACCCCAGACTTTCTTACTGGGTGAGGCTGCAGCTACTGGGCTTGCTACCTGGCCAGGCTGCTGCTTCTCAGCTCCGAAGGTGCAAGTGGCACCTGGGGACCATGACAAATGCTGTAGGGGCAGTGAGTGCCCGTGTTGGGGGTCCGGGGTCCACACTTTGAGGGCAGGGCTCCAGGGGCACAAAGCTACCTCCGCCTGTTGTGCAGGGCTCAGGGCGCCCCCGGGGTTTGTCACTTCTCACATCCCCACCTCCAAAAGCCCACAGCTGAGGTGTGAGAGGAAGCCTGGGCCACCCAGGGTGGAAGGGCTGAGACCTCTGCTCTACAAGTTTCCTATTCCAGCTCGTCCCAGGCTTGTACCAAGGCTGGCTTGTTTATTTCTTCCCAGACCCAGCACAGGGCAGTGCAAAAACTTTCTCGGGCAGTTGTCAAGAGTAAGAAGTCGCCTTGATTTTGCCCTCCAAAGGGAGCGCTTCTTCAAACCGCACTGGTAGTTTGCCAACACACACTGGCCCCCTGGAGGCGGGAACCGCTAGATTCCTTTTTTCCTGAGCCTGTCAAAGCCCCTCCAAGCCACAAAGTAACAACTGCACTGGGCAGCGAGTGCGCGCTAGCTGGGTCTCAGCGACCCTTTTCTGCCCCAGCAGGGCGCTCCGGAGTCAGGCACGCGCCCTTGTTTCACCGGGAAAGCGAAAGCCCAGGGTGATCTTGGAGACCCTTGGCAGGGAAAATGGTTCTTGGAGGAAACAGAAAGCTGATGACTTAGCAAGGCGTGGTCCCCCTCCCAGGAGGCCAGGGTTCTCGCAAACAGCCTCAGCTGGAGGTTTGGAGGCGCGGGCGGCGCACAGGCCCGGACAGGCC